TTGACACCTTGTCCCGAATCAATAATGACACTCCATTTTCCACCAGCTTGTACAAATGCTCCATCTCCAAGTTTTACTTTGGATGTTATGGAAGCATTAATCTTGTGAAAGATGTTTCGATCTCCAGACATATGATTACTGCATCCGCTATCCAAGTACCAAATATGATTTTCTTCATTATAAGTGATTTGTGAGGCATAAAACACGCAGTCATCTTCTTCTTGTTCAGAAAAATTAGCTTGTTTTTTAGCTTTAAATCGACAATATTTTTCTATGTGATTGAACTTATGGCAAAAGGAACATTTAGGCTTACCTTTATGTCAGCAGTTATCCGTAGAATGATTTGTCTTCTTACTAATCTTGCATGCCACCATTGAGTTTCTGAATTTTTCTTCTCGATTATTTTTCTTTGTCTCGTATTCTTCTTTTTTCTTGAAATTTTCTCTCTTCTGAAAATTTCGGGTAGACTTCTTCTGATGTAACTTGGATTGGAATGCAGTTTCATTCATTTTTTATGCTCGTGAAAAACGCCTTTTTCCATGAGCTTGAAGGGAGCTCATGAGTTCGCGTATTGAAATTGCCGTGAGATCTTTAGACTGCTCGATGGCTGCTACCACATATTCATACTTCTCAGTAAGGCTGATCATGATTTTCTCTGCGACATGTTGATCAGTGATATGCTCGCCGTACATCCTCATTTGGTTCACAATCTCCATTACTCGGGTTTGATAGCCTTGAATATTTTCAGAATCATGCATTTTTAGATTCTAAAAATCTCTCATGAGGGATTGAAGATTGATTGTTCTCACCTTCTCATCACCATGAAACTCTTGCTCCAAGGTGTCCCATGCCTCTTTCGATGTTTCTGCAGCAGCAATCTTAAGAAAAATATGTTTTGCGACACTCATATGGATTTTGCTGAGTGCATTTGCATCGGAACGCCGTTCGGCTTCAACTATCTTTTTGTTGGCTTCTGTCATTCCAGCTTCATATTCCGGTTCGGTGTATCCGTTTACTACTGCAGTCCATAAACCTTCAGCTTTTAGATATGTCCTCATCTTGATCTTCCAATACTTGTAATCCTCGCCATCAAAGAATGAAATCATAGAAGATCCGGAGGATACTTGAGACGTGATGCGGTAGGAGTGGAACCGTAGGCCAGCTCTGATATCAGTTTGAAAGGTGTAGGGTTGCTGTTGCAACTCTCAATGATGAATTTTAATAGACAAAAATTGAATATAGATATTACTGCATGTTACTCCATCTCTTTGTATTACAATTTATAGTGTCATATAGAAAGATCTAGGACACTTAATTACTTAGGACAATCAAAAGTCATACTAATAAATTAGTAATTTAAATGACTTTTTAAGATGCATTCATTCTAACAGGTGTACGCGTCCTGTCGGTTCCCCGCCGGGAAAGAATACCAGAGGGTTTTCTTGGTGGGCGACCACCGGGGCTGCCCGGGGAAGAAGGAGAAGTATGAAACCGCCGGAATTCGGCTTCCGGCGGCAGCGGGATTGTCGGGGACGCCGCAGTGGGGCTTCTGCAGCTGAGATAGAGTTTCGGGATCGAGAAATCCGGTGACGGGGAGGCTGAAGAATTTTTTGCAAGATTTGACGGCTTATTTTATACAACTTATCCTAATAGTAGTGCTGCGACAACATTAAGATGAACATCAATGATTTGAACAAGACTCCATAAAGTTGTGGAAATGACATGGGACGATTCTACTTACCAAGCCGATGGTATATTTGGTGGGCGGCTTCTGTGGAAGAGTTTTAGATCCAAATGTTAGTTTTTTTTTTTAATATATTTATAATTAAAAATAACATATTATAAATTTAAAATTATTATTATTAATAATAAATTACATTTATTTAATCTAATGTAATTAATACATATCAAATCAATATATATAAAAAAATTTCAAATTCAAACCAAACTTATAACTCTAAAGAAACACAATAAATCAAACTTATCCTAAAATTCAAAATTCAGTTCAAAATTTCTCCAAACCACTCAAAAGGAACACACCCAGACTTACTGTATTGTAATGGGAAGTATATATATAAATATATATGCCAGCCTTTGTTTTTGGAGTGGGGAGATAGAATTGGAAAGACGATGAGATAGTACAAGATTTAACAAGATGTGACGTGAAGGAAAAAGTGAATTTGAGAGGAAAGGAGATTGACTGCATGAATATTAAAACCTTTATCCTGAAAAGCTCATACAACGTATGTCGAAAATAAAATAGAGACGAATATTTATAGATGGTGCATGAATGGATAAAAATTTGAGAGCAAAACAGACTACTCTAAAAATAAAAAGTTGAAATTCTCAATTTTTACAACACGTGGTAACCGTTGCAGAATTATTCAAAACAATTTTAAGTCAGGATTAATTATTTCTCAACAAGCTCCCTCTTAATCATGACTTGGCCCGAGTTCACGTATGCCCATAAAATGTCTTTTCATCGCTAACTGTATTCCTGAAAGACTCTTGGTCAGTGCATCAGCACGCTGCTCCTCTGCCCGAACAAACTCCACTTTAATTAGCTTTTACTCGGCACATTCTCGGATAAAGTGAAATTTAGTGTCAATGTGCTTGCTTCGCCCATCGAAGACAGGGTTCTTCATCAGAGCAATGGTTGATTTGTTGTTGACGAGCAATTTTACTGGCTTGAGTTCTTGTTTCGTCAGTTCTCCCAATAAACTCCTTAGCCACAATGCTTGACAAGTTGCGGATGTTGCTTCCATAAATTCAGCTTCATATGATGATAGTGTTACCGTCTTCTGCTTCTGTAAGTTCCACGTCAGAAGAGAGTTATTGATGTAAAACTCCATCCCTCAAGTACTTTTCCTTGTATCCATGTCTCCTACCATAGCGCTGTTTGAATATTCGGTGATGGTTTCCTCAATTCCATCTTTTTGATGGATCAGTTTGTGTTGGATTGTTCCCTTCAAGCATCTCAGGATCTGCTTCACAGCCTTATGGTGCATGGTTGTAGGTCTCTCCAAAAACCGTCTTGTAAGTCCAACTGAATATGATAAATCTGGATAAGTGTGTAGCAAGTACCTTACACATCCAACTACACGTCGGTATTCGGTTGCATCCACCGCCTCTCCATATGGGTCTTTATGAATATATGCCTTTGGCTCCAACGGTATTTTTGTTGCATTGCATTTTGCCATGCCGAATTGAGTTTACACCTTCTTGGTGTATGCTAACTGCTTGAGAGTTATCTGTCATTCTTCTTGCGCCACTTCTATCCCGAGATAGAATGTAAGAAGTCCAAAGTCGCTTATCTCAAACTCAGACATCATCTGCCTTTTGAACGGGTTGATATCCTTCGGGCTTTCTCCGGTGACAATTAACTCATCGACGTACACACCAACGATGATACCTGATTGTCCCTGTCCTCTGGTATAAACAGTTTGTTCCTCCGCACATTTGGTAAGCCGAGCTGCTTAAGGCTTCTGTCTAATATGATATTCCAAGCCCTCGGTGCTTTTCGGAGCCCATATAATGCTTTTTGTAGCCTGTAGACTTGATGTTCTTTATTTGTCACCGTGAACCCTTCTGGTTATGTTACGTACACCTTCTCCTCAAGATCGACGCTCAGAAATGCTGACTTTACGTCTAGATGATGTACCTGCCAACCACGACTAGCCAATATGGCAAAGATTACGCATATAGTATCCAGTCTGGGCACTGGTGCAAAGACTTCCTCGAAATCCACGCCATATCGTTGTACGTATTCTTTCGCAACGAGCTTTGCTTTGTGCTTAACCAGCTCACCATCTGAATTTCGCTTTAGCTTGTAAACCCATTTTAGTCCTATGGGTTTGTGTCCCTGTGACAAGTCGATGAGAGTCCATGTTGCGTTCTTCTTGATTGACTTGATTTCATCCGTCATCGCCTTCTCCCAGGCAACTTGTCCGGCAACTTCGTGGTAGTGAGATGGTTCCTCTATGTCAGAAAGTAGTAAATATTTGTCATCTTCTTCCTGAAGCTCCACTATTCAGGCATCTCGTATTACAAAATCAATATTTCTGAAGCGCATGGGTCTGTCGTCAGTGTTGGTGGAGCGTTCTCCTGATGATGGTGATATAGGCACAACTGGAGTAACAGGTTCAAACACGGGTGATCCTCGAGTTTGCGTGCTCTGTCCTGAGGGACTCACTGCATCTTCCTTATAGGATGTATATGGTACTGAATCCGACTGAGGCCTCAAGCTTTGGCATCCTTCGATAGTAAGAGGTTGGCTACCACTGATTTCTGAGTCTGTATCCCAACTCCATGCAATGTTCTCTTCAAACTTGACGTCCCTACTTGTATAAATCTTCTTTTGGTGAGGATTGTAAAGACGATACGCCTTGCAACCCTTTTCAGCGCCAAGATACACCATTTTCTGACTGCAATCATTGAGTTTCTTCTGATGAGGTGTCGTAATATATGAGTGAGCAGTACAACCAAACACTCTTAGGTGAGTGAGGTTTGGTTTCCTTCCGCACCACATCTCAAATGGTGTGCAATCATTGAGTGCCTTTGTCGGTAGCAAGTTCAGGATGTACACTGCATGTCTCACGGCCTCTACCCAAAACTCGTTTGGGGCATGCATAGTTTTGAGAAGTGATATCGCCATCGCCATCACTGTCTGGTTTCTGAGCTCTACTACTCCATTATGTTGTGGCGTGTAGGGAACGGTCAAATGTCTCTGAATCCCTTTTGTTTCACACCACGATTGGTCCTCAATATTTTGACTCGGTACCCACTGGCAGTCTCCACTTATTGCTTGAACGTTTTGAATATACTACACGTCTGGTCCTTTGATCTGATCATAAAACTCCACATCCCCCATAATCATCAACAATTAACATAAAATATTTTTTACCAGCTGGTGTCAAGGGAATGATTGGTCCCTAGAGGTCAGCGTATAGAAGCTCAAGTGGTTTCTTTGCTCGGTACTGTGTCTGTGTTGGAAATAGTTGTCATGGCTGTTTAGCGATAAGGCATCCTTGACATAGCTGGTTCGGACGTGTCATCAGTGGTACACCAATCACCATTTTCTTTTTTTTTTTTTTCTGCTTTCTCAAGGCCTTGAAGGTGACATTCCCGAGCCGAGCATGCCACGACCATCCATGATCTGAAATATTTGCCATCAAGCATACTGGAGCGCAGGAGGTGATCGTAGCCTTGTATAGCCGGTTAGAATGGCATTTAACCTTCATGATCAGGATCCCACTCGAGTCGTATATCCATAGGTACTCCCCTTCCATCACCTATTTGTTCCCTGTTTTAGCCAACTGTCTACAACTAATGATATTATTACGCAAATAAGGGATGTAATATACCTCATCGAGTAATCGTTGCTCGCTTCCCTTGAACTCGAATAATACAAATCCTTTTCCTTTAATTTGAACTTTGGATCCATCCCCAAATTTCACTTCTCCTTGAACCGATTCATCTAGGTCATGGAAGTGTTTGCGATCTCCAGTCATGTGATTACTTGCTCCATTGTTGAAGTACCAAGTGTCATCTCCGGGTCCATCTTCGCCCTTAGTTCGAGTGTTTGTTTGTTCTTTGCTCAATAGAGCTCAGTTTTCTCTTTTTGCCGCTACTGGCAACAGGAGTGCGGGCTCATTTTACTTTGTGCACGTCATGTTGGTTTCTGCCTTCCGTTGTTTACTCCAACACTCTGATGCATAGTGACCCACCTTGTTGCAATTGTAGCACCTTATATGGCTCTTTTCGCGGCCTCCTCCCCTAGAGCCATTTTTATTCTCCCTACGTGTAATGTCAGTGTGCTCACCTCTACCACGACCTCTCCTGCGACTACATCCGCCCCGGCCGCGATTGCCGATTCCTTCACTTGTGTCCTTTTCCTTGCCACCTTTGTACTTCTGCCGCCCTTTCCAATATCTGGGCAAGAAGTAGTTGATTGCCGCTATTTCCGCTAGGTGCTGTCTGCCGTATAACCTCCTCGAATGTTTTAAGACGACCAACGGCTTATTCGAAAGGCATGGTGGTAAGATCGCAGGATTGTTCGATTCTGGCGATGACCGTGTAACACTGAGTAGGCATAGTGTCGAACAACTTTTTCACCATGTCTGCATCATTCAACGTAGCTCCCAAGCTGGCATACTTTGCCGACATGGCGCTCAGCTTTGCAGCATACTTCTCCAATGTCTCCCATTCACTCATTCTCAACCCATCAAACTCGTTTTTCAGCGTCTGCAGTCGCGCTGCCTTAACATTATCAGCTCCTACGAACCTCGTCTTGAGGCTGTCCCAGACCTCCCTGACCGTCTTTTTCTGGGCAACCTGCACTAGGAGATCTTCCGAAAGGACTTGGAGCAGAAGTGCTCTCGCTGCTTTGTCTTTCCTTGCCTCCACAACTGCTTCTTCTTCCGGTTCGATGGCCTCCTATACTCCCCGGGCTTCCATAATAGCCTCCACCTTAATCGGCCATGTGGTATAATTCGTCGATCTCAATTGCGGATAGACGAAGGACACCCTGCCGTTGTCTTTTACTGCCACTTCATTTTCAACACTCGACATCGGATCAAGACGGAGATATTTTGGCATGCAAACCTTGCTCTGATACCAGGTGTAATATGACAATCCACTACTTAGATCTAATTACGCTCGACTGCTTTTCTTTAATCTCCTTGGATAACGAAAATATTTAACTCGCAAGTCTCTCTCTGGAATGGCTTTGCTTCGATTCAAACATAAAACAAACCTACTAAGTATGTTTTTTTAATCAAATTTTTTCAAATTTTACTATTTTGGACTCTGCATTTTTCAAAAAAAAATTTGGACTCTGTATTTTTCGAAAAAAAAATTCAATTTTTCCTCTCAAAAATATCATACCAAACATTATTTTAATATAAACTCAAACCAAGTATATATATGTCAATATATATATATATATACATATGTGTGTCAGCATTTGTTTTGGAGTGAGGAGAGAGAATCGAAAGCAAAAGGAGATAGTACAAGATTTAATGAGATGTGACGTGAAGGAAAAAATGAATTGGAGAGGAAATAAGATTGACTGCAGGAATATGAAAATCTTTATTCTGAAAAGCTCACATAACGTATGTGGAAAATAAAATACGTACGAGTATTTATAGATGGTACATGAATGGATAAAAGTTTTAAAGCAAAACAAAATACTCTAAAAATAGAAAATTTAAATTTTCTAAATTTTTGCAACACGCGGTAATTATTCAAAACAATTTTAAGTAAGGATTAATTATTTCTCAACAGATATGCCCTTTATAAGTTATGCACATGATCGGGACGGTGAAAATTGCATAAGCGGTCGTGGATCAAGCACATAATGATCACGTTTAGATACTATGATTAGACTAATTAATTAAGTGCAACAAAGATTTAACTATCTTAGGTACTTAGGCCATCCACAACACAAAAACCCATCCAGGGTTTCTTCCCATTCTCTCTCTTGTGCCACGTCAGTTTCTCTCTCCGCCACGTCACGAAGAACTCCAACTATATTTTACATTCACATCAAATAACCCTTTAAAATCTTTACTTTTTCCACCTCATTAAATATTTTATCTATTTAATAAACTTATATTTTTTCATTATATTTTATTCTTATAATATTTAATTAAAATAAAATAATTATTTAGCATAATATATAATTATTTGATCGGGAAGCTAAACAGTTAAAACTTGCTAAGACGAAGATGGAAATGCTCATAATGATAATGGCCAAAGGGGATAATCTGACGGAATTTGAAGAACAGTTGAAACAAAGGTTGGCAAATGTTTTCCGTAAGTTTGCATTTAAATTTATTGGTATTTATTTCATGTATTTTTAATTATTATATGTATTGTCTGTAATTTTAATTAAGTCGTGTAGGTTTGCATTTAAATTTATGAATATTTTTATGTATTTTCAATTAATATTTGTAGTGTGTATAATTTAATTAAGTCATGTAAATTTAATTTTAAATTTATGAATATTTTTATGTATTTTTATTTATTATTTGTATTGCATGTAATTTTAATTAAACAAATGTTATAATTGAATTAATAGATATTTAATTAAATATTTTACAAAAATATGCATTAAAAAGTTACATAAAATATAAAAATATTATATTAAAAATTATAGTTATTAACAATATTATTTTAATAAAAAAATAAATATTAAATAAAACTCATATAATAAAATTTAAATCTAATATTTTAATAAAACAAATTATTATAAATATATATAAAAAAGTATATATTATAAATATTATTTTTAATATTTATTGAATAAAAAAGTGGACCATGGCCCACAAAAATTAGAAGAAACGGTACACTCGCAATGTACCGTTCCTTATGTTAATTGGTGTTTTAATTTTTTTTTTATTTAATAAATGATGACGTGGGAGGCGCTTCTCAACAAGCGTCTCCCGTTGTGGATGCCCTTATAGTATCGTAGTTGAATGCCTTTCCACTTGTCCATATACAATACTAATAGTTTCAGCAATGATTATAATATTTTAATTTTAGTAATGATTATAATATTTTATACGTTTTTTTTTTTAATAATAAATTGATGTAGTAAAATTGGGTGCTACTTTTATTAAGCAATATATATATTTTAAAATTTTTTGCACCAAAGTAAAATTGGGTGCTACTTTTATTTGAGCAGCTTTCGCTCATTGAGAAATCATTGTATTCAGAGAATTAAATATTATTGTAAAAATGTTTAAATTATTACGTGATGTTAGAGGATGTTTGTTGATATTTTGAACCAAAGTCAAAGTCTCATGTTATTGTATCAGTTAAAATATTTAGTAAAATATATATACAGGTGTGTGCAGTTCATTCGCAATAGTGAATATATTGATTAAGAAAAGTATAAATTCGATGAAAAATAGAGTATATATATATATATATATATATCCCAAAAATTTTATATTTTTTTATTCACTCATTTTTTCTCTTTTACTTTTATGCATAGAATTTATAAAATTATATCAAATAAAAATTGAAATATAAACAAAATAGACAAAATTATACTGCACAAATGCAGTATATAGCTTAGATTATTTTTATTAATCATCATTATTTATTTATTTAGTTAGTTACTTGTTTATTTATACAATGCCTTAATCCCATCGATATCATCCTTATTCAAATGCTTCCTAACTCCAAAATCGATGTACGGCCACATAACGGCATCCTTATCAGTCGAATGCCCTAACCCTAAAACATGCCCTAATTCATGCAATCCCACCGTCTCCAAATCCATCTTCCCCGCCTGCGCCGCGTCCACCCACTGCTCGTCGCCGTCGAAGTGCAGCCGCCCGTCCGGCGGCGCAAACGCGTGCGCCAAAACCCCGCCGGGGCCATCAAACGCGGACCCGTCCCCGTGGTCCCGGACCTGGAAGCTGATCTTAACGTCGGCTTTGTCGTAATCGGGCGTTTGCGCAAATTTTAACGGCGCCTGCTGGCTCCATTCCTTAGTGGCGGCGCTAATGGCGGCGTACGCATCCTGTCGGGTCCCCTTGGGAAAAGAATACGAAAGGGTTTTCTTGGTGGGCGACCACCGGGGCTTCCCGGGGAAGAAGGAAAAGTATGAAACCGCCGGAATTCGGCTTTGGGTGGCGGTGGGATTGTCGGGGACGCCGCAGCGGGGCTTCTGCAGCTGATCTAGGGTTTCGGGGTTGAGAAATCCGGTGACGGGGAGGCTGAAGAATTTTTGGTAAGATTTGATGGCATGTACGAGCTCTTCATCGAAATTGTCGTTGTTCGCAAACTGAGATTTTTCGGACATGTGGCCGATGGCGATGAGGTACTGTTTGAGTTTGGAGATTCCGGCAGCCGAGGTGCCTGGCCGGACTCCGGTTAGAGTTCGAAGAAAGTCCATGGATGAGTCGGAGGAGATTGGGAGAAGGAAGAAGAAAATTGAAGTGATTATTGTTATTAGGAATGATCGAAAGAATTTGGATTCCATGATTGGTTTTTGTGTGTGATTTGAGGTTAAGAATGGACCCTTTTTATAGGGTTTCATTTGTAGGAATTGTGTGGAATTGATTAGTTGGATGTAGTTTAAAGGTAGTTAATTTGAGATTTTGGTTAATGGGACAAGTAATGTAGTTTGAGATTTTATTAAAGATAGGGTTTTTCCAATTTGTTGATGAGATGTATGTAAAATATTAATGCAAATTAGCCCTTAATTTGTGTGTGCTTGAATTGTGTTTTGATTTCTTGATATTATCCTAAAAATTGTTATTTTCTATATTTTCCGTTTTAAATACAGGAGAAAACTTTGTTGCTTTAAAATAATTTTAATTTTCTTTGTGGAATCAAAGTGTTTTCACTTGCAATAGAACATACAATTGTCAATGATTATGGTGTTAATGGTAATGATAAATATGATGTTGATTATTCTAATTAGTACATATAAGGAAAACAAAAACAAAAGAAGATAACATATGATTTTAATCAATATATCATATGTTAATTTAATTGAAAATATATACACTACTAGAATTCTACAAGTATACCTCGAAAAATTGTCTCATAATACTTCCGAAACTATTCTAAGTCTTTTAATTAATATAAACAACTTTATTTATTTTTGGTCTCGGAAATTCCGAGTCCATTGTTGGAGATTCCAAGTCTATTTAAACGTTTAAAATACCCCGAAGTAAAGTCCGAGCCTTACATAGAAAAGGTCTCGGAATTTCCGAGGTCAATCTTTTATATATTCAATATTTTTATTGGAATGGGAAGGGTCTCGGACTTTTTCGATGCTAATGTATTTTACTCAAACTTTTTCGCAACAGTATTTCAAAACTATTGGAGATAGATCTCGGCATTTCCGAAGCCAATGTTTTATATATATTAAATATTACTATTGGAATAAGAAAGGTTCTCGGAATTTCCGAGGCTAATGTATTTTACTCGAGACTTTCCGAGACAATATTCCGAACTATTTGAAAAATGTCTCAACATTTGCGAGGCATATTTTTTATGGTCATATTAATATTTAGAAAAAAGATTGTCGAAATTTCTAATGCTAATTTTAATATTAATTATTTAAATACTTTGCCTTGAACTATTCCGAGGAAATATCTGAAGCCATTTGAGAAAACTCTTATAATTTTCAAAGTAAATACTTTAAATATTTAAAAAATCAGAAACATTCCGAGACTATTATGAAGTTATTTGAGAAAAATATTAAAATTTTCTTAATTTTCGAGCAATATATATATATATAATTTTCTTATTCAAGTTCATTGTCTGTTTTTTTTTTTCTTTCTTTTTACTAAATTAGTTCTAATAATAACTATCGCGTTTAAATTTTAATTGATAATTATTAACTTTTTTTAGCATTATCTTACATTCAATTATCTTTTTACCGTTAATTTTCACAGTACAAATAAACCCCAACTCTCGAAGGCCATGGAAGTTGAGAGCCAAAACATATTAAAACATATATATATTCATTTGCTCAGTATTGTATTATTTAATTATTAAACAATTCAAAGAAGTATGAAATTTAGGTAGAAAATTGTTGCATTTTAGTATATTAAAAAAAATTTAAAAAAAAAAACAAAATTAAAAAATAAATAAACTTTACAAGATTATATCAAAAATATGTTAAACATCTTTATTTAATAATCTAATCAAAATTATAAATTTAGACAAATTATAAATAAAAAATTTATATATACATATATATATACATATAAAATCAATTAATAAAACAATCATGTGAATATTATAAAATAATTGTGAAAACTATACATTAGTTTAATATTAGATTTTATTTATTATCTATCTTATATTATTTTTATTTTCTTATTAGATTTGAATTATATTTTATATTTTACTAATGTATTATTGTTAGATTAATAACAAATAGAAATTAATCATATTATTTTACTATTCGAATTGAGTTATGTTTTATATTTTAAAAATTCTAAAATAATAAAAAAAAATTATATATTTGAGTACAATATATTTTTTTTACTTAAAATGCTATAATTATTTCTATGATTTTCACAATTATTCTATAATATTCACATGATTAATGTTGGTAACACATGATCATTATTCGAGCCAAAGTGGATATTATAGTATAATTTCCAACACTTTTAGGTGTACTAAAACTATAGGTTGCAGCCTATCTTGTTGGGCTGACCAAATTAGATACATTCTCCAGCCCAATATATATACTTGATTTTATTATTATTATTATTATTATTATTATTATTATTATTATTATTATTATTATTATTATTATTATTATGATTTTAAGTGGTGTTGTATTAAATTCTAATTCAAAGAAGTATATTTATTTGGGCTATAGATTAAAACAATCATCAATGCATTTCTAAAAATTATTTTGTAGAATATATATAATTTTTACTTATTTTCATTTCTATTATTATAAGGTTAATTTATATTAATTATATATAAATAATTATTTATTTCTTATAAAATGATATACATATTAATTACTATATTGAATGAAGTTAATTTTTAAAACACTTAAATATATTTTTTTAATTTGTGTATAACTATATATGTTATACTCATAATTTACCCATTAAACATCTCATTCCAAATAGACCCTTATGTTTTCAACTTCTTTGAAAAGCATTTCATCCGACACATATTTTTTATCTAAAATATTACATATAACATATATTTATGTCACATCATTATGTATTTTCTATTCAATTTTACTATTTCTTAAACCATTAAAAAAGAATTAAAATATATCTAACACACCCTTAATCTCCCAAGACCAAATAAAATAAATTATATAAAAGCATAAAATGTTAGATTTAGTTACTCAATTAATTCCCACAATTTATTGAATTAGATACTATTTTTTAAAATGTTATAATATTTAGAGAATTTCCATGAAATGATTTTGGATATATATATATATATATATAAGCATTGTAGCACAAGCTAGGGATTGGTGTCCATATCATGTCCATGAGATGATCCTATAGGTTTAATGGCTTTAATTGAGCCCCTAAAAAAATCTATGAAAAAATGGATCTTCAATACCCATCATTATATAAATATTTTTTTAAAAAATAAAAAATAAAAAACATGATTGCAAGAAAAATTATTATGATGCTGACTAACTTATATGTCCATGACATGACACAAAGCTGATCCCACAATCTGTATTTTAATTTTTTTTGACATTCCAACCACTTTGTAAAGTTGGATGGAGAAACAAGAACATGGATCCTTGAACTTGCCCATATATTAGTACTTGTAATTAGATTATGGGTAGGGTGGGGTGGGGTGGGGTGGGGGGGGTGTTATCATCCTATATATTCACCTTATGTAATGATATGGTATAGTATGTATCGATTCACTTAATGCAAATAACCATGAACTTAATATAATTATAACAAAAGGGTAAAATGTTTATTTTAGTCCCGTAATTGGACCCTTTATCATTTTAGTCTTCTAAGTGGAGTTTGTCACAAACTAGTCTCATAAGTGAAAATTTTTCGCTCTTTTAATCCTCTGGCGCTGAAGAAGCCCGTGCGGCTCGCCGGAGGTGACGTGTCCACCAGGTGTCCCGCCAGGTCAGCGACACCTGGCGGATTTTAATTTTTTTTAATTAGACCAAATAAAATAAATAAAAACATACAAATAAAATTTAAAATAAATTAAAAATAAGTTTTAAAAAAATTTTAAAAAATGAAAAAAATAAAATAAAAAAATCTACGTGTCCGCCAAGTCAGCGACACCTGGCGGACACGTCACCTCGGGCGAGCAACGCGGGTATCTCTGGCGCCGGAGGACTAAAACAGCGAAAATTTTTCACTTATGAAACTAGTTTGCGACAGGCTCCACTTACGAGACTAAAATGATAAAGGGTCCGGTTATGAGACTAAAAAAATAGTTTGCCCATAACAAAATTACTCTTTTCAAAATTTTACTATCACTGCATACAAAGATATTAATCAAATCATAGTGTTTATCTTTTTTCTTTCATCTTTTTGTATATGTACTCAGAATTGGATTAAATTATGATATTTTCATTTGTCTCAGGGCCGTTTACTTTGTAGGATATTATTATAATATATTTATTATTTTAATGGAATATATAATCATATGACAATATAATTTAATATTTATTATAGTGAATTGTTGTATAAGATTTTTAATTTTGCCTAAAATACTCTTAGTTAAATGATAGAATTAATAGTAAGTTAGGTATTAATAATAGATAAAATAGTTTTTTATAATATTTATACCTTAGTATTATTTAATACCACATATAAAAGATTAATTAATAATCCTTGATTATAGTATTATTACACATGACTTTACTTAATTTCGGATTATAGTAATAAATAATAAACATATTATTATATTGGATAAAATAATATTATTCACTCTAATCATACAAAGCAAACACACCCTATAGATACAAATTTTAGGAATAGAATAATTAGTAAATTATTTAAAAGTAATTACAGTAAAATACAAATAATTATTAATTAAGATTATAAATTATTAATTTAATTAATATTATAATAATTGTAAATTAAAAATTGTAAAATATATTATTAAAATATATAATTTTTTTCAAAAGAAAATAAGATATGCAATAGCGGATGCATTTTGGGGCAAGCACCCTCTTGCCCCTATTTTTTCTAATATAAAAAATATATTTTTTATATAATTATATTAAATTATCTTTTAATTATAAATTTATCATCATATTCTATTTCTATTTTTTTTCTTCTTTATCTGCTATTATTGTGTCATAGAAAATACTCTCTCCGTTCCGTGACAGATGATTCTTTTTTTTTTTTGGCTGTCCCATTAAAGATGACCTTATTTTTAGTAAATTTATTCATCTTAAATATATTTTACAAATATAAATCAATTTAATTAAATTTATAATCTCTTACACGTGCTACTCACTCAAAATCCCTTTATTTTTATCTCTATGTCCTCAATAAATAAATATTTTTATCTATATTTAAGATTTCTTATTTTTAATAAAATTAGTTTTAAGTTAATTATAAATTAATTAATTAATTAATTTTTTATTTATTTGTATTATATGAAATTTTATTCTCTACAAAATGATATTCATATTGTA